ACCTTTGAACTGCAGTTCTAAAAGATCTACCGACCGCAAAAACAGCAGAGTGCACGCTGCGCGCCGGCCACACAGGTGAAGTCACCGGAGGACAAAACAGGTGATGCGCCCCGCTCCACAGCAGCGAAAAGCATCAGGCACAAATGAAAGACAGAAAACATAAAAGGAAATGAGCCGACATGAATGATCTTGTGTTAAATTTGTTTTTGAGGTGGCAACACCTAATTTGTTAATGTTACTGTGGCCGTGCTCAGGATGCAGATGTCTGGAGGGTGTCAACGATCAGAGCTTTGCATGCGCAAGCTGGTTAAGGTTAGGATGGGGGTGAGGGGAAGGTTAAATTGCAAGAGGGTAAAGGTCAAAATTCGGTCAAATGTCCATTTTACCGCTGCCGTCAGATACCGACGCTCTGGCACAGCACGTCGCCTCCCGACGCGCAGGGGCTCGTCACCTGCTGTCTTTTCCGAGGACTGCATCTTGTCAGTCATCACGTGACAGCGAGTAGTCTATGAAAGGCATCAAAAGTCACTAAAGAGCAGTGAAGTCGACTGGTGAGCAAGCCAGAAGGTAAACCAAAATCAACACTTTGTTAATAATTTGATGTTTTAAAATCTCTTTGCTGGTCAGAAACTGGACGAAGCTTCACGTTCATTTATCTTCATGAGAGCTGTCTCATCTCATCACATCCTAACCAGTCTAAAGCTGTCAAAGCAATAACACTGTCTTGGTTCTAAAAAGGCATGAATGCTTGTATTTTTTTATTGTTTTTATTTGTGTTCATGCTTGGTAACTTGTGAACAGGGACGTTCGGACGCAGCCATAACCAGATTTGATCAGTTTGTGTTTGAATTCTGACTTATGAATAATTCCAGTAGTAGGAAATCCGTTTCACTGTTTGAAATGTCCAGATACGTCCCGTATCTGAAGCAGGTTCCGTCAACTGACTGTGCACGTATCGCCACATTCTTTTCCTATAGTGAAGCTAACGACGAATTCTAGCTTTTATAATATGAAAGGCTGCACCAACACAACCCTTAGATAGGCCTATTCTGTGTTATACCGGCATTAAACGACGAAGCCATCGGAACCAATAGCGCCTTCCCTTCTGTCGAAGGCTAACTTTAGCACCACTAAAAGTTCAGCTCTGCAGAGATAAATGCCAATTAATTTCTTAATTCAAAACACCTTTATCTGCCAGCGAATGCAGCAACAGACTACAAATTAAATCAAAATCCCTTTAGGGTAAAGTTCTTGCTAAACAAACCACTGTGTTTGAAGCCATATTCTGTCCTCATTCATCTATCAGCTATCTTAGCTGCACTCACAAAGAAGACGGAAGTGTCATCATCCTTCCTCTCTCTTTATTCTCATCATTAACCCTCTCCAACCCAAAAGATTCTATACCACCCTCTTGTCCAGCCCTCAGGGGTCCAGTCTTCTGGGGTACCCAGAAACGGCCGTCTCCTGTGCCCCAGACGCAGGTCCCCTAGAGTTCACCTTGGCCTGCGTTTGGCGTCCTTTGCTACCCTTTGGGGGGGGGGGGGGGGTTGCGGGTACTGTCACAGTCTGTCTCGTCTGCCCAGTTTCTGTTCAGTCCTGTGTCTATATGTTAATTGCTCTCACCAGCCTCTCGTTGCTCCAATCACTCAAGTTCCCAGCTCCTAAACCCTCTCAGTCTTGTGTGTCTTGTCGATTCATGGTTTCCATGTCAGTGCGCTCTTCATTAAAACCTTCAAACTTCCGTGGACCAGGATGGGGGACAGAATCGGACAGGTGGAGTGAAGGAAGAGCTCAGAGCTGCAGACTTCCAAGCAGCAATTCGGACCACTGAGATCATCATCAGGAAATGTGTTGGTTGTGTTTTTTTCCCCTGATTTACTTAATGTACTAATAAACTTCCCTTTACCTGGATGAAGAGGTTAGGAAACAGAATTTTGCCTTAAAAATAATGACTGAATTATCTCTGAGGCACCTATCACCCCTTAAAAATGTGCTGAAGTATTTTAGTTCACGCCGGGGCCGGGGCTGCAGCTTGCATGTAGAGCTAATGACAGTGATATCGCCAACAGCTAGAGCTGGAGGCAGGAGGAAGTCATGTCTTCCTCAAGAAAGGGAAATCTGGCTTCCGGAAAAGAAGGAGAAGGAGAAAAAGTTAATGGAACAGAAGAAAGTATTGAGGAGGTTTCACAGGTAGAGAGGTGAGTAGCAATACAGAACACAGTTTGAGCTGACATTAGCTCTCATACTGAACCTGCATTTGTGTTACATGTTCGGTGATTAATGCCTTTAGTTTGACCACCAAGATTAATTATAATTTCATTAGTATTATTAGAATTATTACTGCGCCTGCCACCAATAATTTTGTGGACCTCACAGTAAAAACTGGTTTGCTCTGCTATTTCAGCTCCTTCCTAGTCACGATCAGGGCAAATTTAGTATCGATGGATTCCTTGTAATCTCGGGAATGTGAAGCTGCCATTGTCATCATGCTATACGAAAAGCTAAATTCAACATGTTGCACACTTGAACAATATGACACAGTCCAAGTGTGCATGAGTTTAAAAGAACGTGTTTATTTGCCATCCATCTGAAAATATGAAACAAAGGCACATGAATCCAACGTGCATCACACGATCAGCTGCCATCACCTACTGACCTGCGCATGTGCCTCAAAACTTCTATTAAGGACCCTGGCTGGCCTCAGTGTGTGTTTAAAAACCTCATCATATTAATTCCTTCTTAGTGCGAGTACTACACTTATCAATACGCACTCACGTAAATGAATGATAAATGACCTACACTTGTATAGCGCCTCTCAGGCCGGGGACACACTGGCCGCGGAAGCGCCGCGAAAATGGGACCGCCTTCATTCGGCGCCCTTGTTAAGCTATTCTATAGACCACATGGGCCGCTGAAGCGCCGCGAATCGCCTCGCGCCGGCGCGCGCCGGCGCTCCAGCCCGCGCCGTGCAGCGATCATTTCGGCGTTGGCTCTATTTTTTTCGCGAGCCGCGGGTGAATCGCGTCAATTCTGGCAGGAAGTCAAACGTAGACATAAGAGGCAGGCCGGTAAAGTTAACAAAATAAAGCATTTCAAAATAAAATTCCGCAATAGTCAAATGTGTTCGTAAACAGACACTGCAGAAAAACCACACGAACACGCACACACACACATCGAACTTGTGTGCGTGTGTGACCACGTGAAGGGGGGAGTGGTTTTGGGTGTCTTTTCACCGGAGCAAACAGGACAGAGAGGCAGAAAGTCTGAGGCAAGCAGTTAGGATGGATGACTTTAAATTAATTATGGAAGTTGAGAAACACAAGGAGCTGTACGACCCCCGAAAAACATGATTGTTTACGTACCCATGTCGGAAGAAACTGCTAGGATACAGCTGCAGAATTGGAGCGGGTTCCAAGAGATTCAACTGGCAGAAACAACTCATACCATAGGTTCACACACACGCGCGCGCGCGCACGCGCACAAACACTCAAACGTAGGAAAAGAGCTGAGAAAAGGCAGAGAGGAAATGGAGGACACCAAGTGTTTAAAAGAAAAACTACAGCTGAGCCGAGGCGCCCCTCGACTGGGGCGCGTCTGATCTGAACTGAGGAGCGGCGAGCAGCGGCCGAATTTCGTGAGCGATTCGCTTCTCGGCGCTTCGCGGCGCTTCCGCGGCCGGTGTGTCCCCGGCGTTAGGACTCCAAAGCACTTTACACTACAGTGTATCATTCATCCATTCACACACTGATGGTGATGAGCTACGATGTAGCCACAGCTGCCCTGGGGCGCACTGACAGAGGCAAGGATGCCGAGCACAGGCGCCACCAGTCCACCAGCAGGCAAGGTGGGTTAAGTGTCTTGCCCAAGGACACAACAGCAGAATCCTCTGTCCGGAGCCGGGATCGAACCTGCAACCTTCCGATTACTGGACAACCCGCTCAACCTGTTGAGCTACTGCTGCCCTAACACAACTTGAGCTGGACTGTGACCAAACTTAGCCTCACATAAACAGTACAATTGCACAAACAAAATAATTACACAAAATATTCAAATGGGGGTCATGTTCTCTAGCCTTTAACATTAACTGGTTCCCCACACTCTCACCCACAAAATAAATGTCGTCCCAACAAAGCAAAAAACTCTGGAGCGGCTGATTCCTCAGCTGGTATGGAGGTAGGTTTGGAAGATAAGTCTCTGGAAATATTTTCTGTAGTATACAGTCTTTAACATGGCACTCATCTGCTATGTCACATCATGTTGTAAAGGCAGACATTACTGGCCAGGTGATATCTGCAAGGAGGATACTCTGCTATATCTGCAGGTCAGTATACCAGACTGTAAAGTTTAACTCAAAACTTAACATAACCGAACGTCATAACCAAGTGTAACACTAATAACACTAAATACGCACGCTCTTGGTATCAAAATGTGTCTTTAAAGAGCAAGTCAACCCCTACCAGAGTCTAACTCCACTCCCACTTCATGTTTGAAAAATGCAACACATGCTGTTGCCTGGCAGACCGAGAGGGCGAAGCCGCTAACAAATACACACGCACTCAGGCTCACGACAGCAATGTGACATCATAATGTACCAGTTTACATCATAGCATACTTCTTAGCCAATAGCAGTGGCAGATTTAAATTAGAATACAGTGCAGAGTTTTTACCTGACAACGGCACAACACTGCCAGTTTTAGGCAGAATATTTAAATTTTAACTAAGATGCACTGAAGTGCCAAATTATTGACGAAACGTGTCTGCAGCACGATTAGACACTCATTTATTTAGTTTAGCAGCAAAAAAAAATGTTTATTTGGGGATGACTTGCTCTTTAAAATTCCCGGACATCATAAGTGAAATCCATGGCACAAAACAAGCAGAATTAGAAAACAGCGTTTTTAGCCCCATTGACTTGCATTCATGTTTTCATTCTTCCGGGGACCCGTGACGCAGAAGTGACTTCCTTATATGGTATGGTGCTGTCGTGCCTCTGGCCACTCCGCCCCATGCTACAAGCTACAGCCAAGTATAGGCGAGCTGCTGCAGCTGCGTGTAAAACGTTGAGAAACAGTTTTTTTGATGTGGGTATCACCATCCCGCGTCCCGGAGGTGATTTCCTATTTCGAGGAATTGCTTGTTGCCGCGGTTTACAGTAGGCAGGTAGAGCATGGGGATGTCCTCACTTGGTGTTTTTTGCAGGCGTGGAGTTTTCCACTTTGACAAGTATCAGGCACCGAGAGGTTGAGTCGTGGAATGTCAACAAGCATGTAAACCTCTGCAGGCGGCTTCTGCGAGACGTCGGTGTGCTGCCTTCTGTTTTGTCAGCCTTATTTTTATTTCTTTTTTTTTTTTTCGGTGGCTTGTCAACTCATGAGCTTCTTGCTGTTGGTCGAACCGGCTGCTTCATCACCGCGAGTCGAGCCAGCGGCTTAACAAGACCAGGTTGGTTGTTGCTGTTGTTCTTTCTTCTGATCCAAGACGAACATGCATGGATTGTTAAAATCGAACATTGTTTCGTTTATGTGAATGCTTTGATTTGATCGTCCTGAAAATAGCTTTTCGACCAGTTCATGTTGAATTGCTTTTAACCTAAGTGACTTTTCATTTAGTTAAAACCTGACAATGGTAGTCAAACATATTTTTTTGGGGGGGGGGGGGGGGGGGGGGGGGGGGATGTCACAGCCGGTGAGCCCGAGAGAGATGTTGAATTTCAAAGCCCCCAAAAAGCGATATGTATTATTATTTTTTTTTTATCATGCTGCATCATCACAGTGACGGATTTAGACATTCTGAGAACCCACCCCGAAATATGGCACCACCGGACAAAGGTCTGCTCGCCTTATAAGGGTCGATGCTCATCTCCAACCCTCCGTTAATATGGAGGATGGATCGAAATAGTTATTTTGTCAAGACCGCCATGCCCATATGTCTATTGGATGATCAACATTTAGCTGAGAATGTGTGTTTTGTTGCAGCGCTGTCACGATAAACAGACACGACTGATTGTGCGTGTGTGTGTGTGCGCGCGTGCGCGTGTGTGCGCGCGCGCGAGAACAACGATTGTAAAATTGCCATGATTTGACTCACGCGATGACTGGATGGTCACATTTTGTCATGTATAGGCTAATTCCTGAATGTAAAGAATAAAACAAGCACATGACCTGACAAGCAGTTCACATGCCTTCAGTTTTTGCTGAACAGTGCTTCCTTTCATATGACAATGACAATTTAACAGTTTGTCATCGACTTGACAGCTGCTTTTGTCTTCCTGTGTGTGACATTATGATATTTGCATCAGAAGCTTGGCTTTGTGATAAAGCGTACTGCCCATCTCTGTCTTTCTCTGCAGCTAACAAGTAAAGATGATGGCCCTTTATATGCACAAAAAGAACGCAGATGTGGAATTAGTCCAGTATTTGTTGGGAAATTACATTTAGAAAAATTCCAGTCTGGTTTTAAGCCAGTCCACAGTACAGAATCTGCAATGCTCTGGGTTTTTAATTACATTTATTGGCAACTGATTCTGGGGACTTTATTTTGATATTGTTGGACCTATCGGCTGCATTCGATACTGTTGATCAGTCTCTCCTGATTTCTAGGATGGAAGACTTTGTGGGTGTTTGCAGGGTCGCGCTGGATTGGTTTGTGTCGCACGTGGCTGACAGAACCTTCAGTGTCTCATTGGGAGATTCTGCAGGTCCTTCTCAAAAAATTAGCATATTGTGATGAAGTTCATTATTTTCAGTAATGTACTGATAAATATTAGACTTTCATATATATTAGATTCATTACACAAAACTGAAGTAGTTCAAGCCTTTTATTGTTTCTAATATTGATGATTTTGGCATACAGCTCATGAAAACCCAAAATTCCTATCTAAAAAATTAGCATATTAGCATCTAAAAAATTTCATCCGACCAATAAAAGAAAAGTGTTTTAATACAAAAAAAGTCAACTTTCAGATAATATGTTCAGTTATGCACTCAATACTTGGTCGGGAATCCTTTTGCAGAAATGACTACTTCAGTGCGGCGTGGCATGGAGGCAATCAGCCTGTGGCACTGCTGAGGTGTTATGGAGGCCCAGGATGCTTCGATAGTGGCCTTAAGCTCATCCAGAGTGTTGGGTCTTGAGTCTCTCAACTTTCTTCACAATATCCCACAGATTCTCTATGGGGTTCAGGTCAGGAGAGTTGGCAGACCAATTGAGCACAGTAATACCATGGTCAGTTAACCATTCACCAGTGGTTTTGGCACTGTGAGCAGGTGCCAGGTTGTGCTGAAAAATGAAATCTTCATCTCCATAAAGCTTTTCAGCAGATGGAAGCATGAAGTGCTCCAAAATCTTCTGATAGCTAGCTGCATTGACCCTGCCCTTGATAAAGCACAGTGGACCAACACCAGCAGCTGACATGGCGCCCCAGACCATCACTGACTGTGGGTACTTGACACTGGACTTCAGGCATTTTGGCATTTCCCTCTGCCCAGTCTTCCTCCATACTCTGGCACCGTGATTTCCGAATGACATGCAAAATTTGCTTTCATCTGAAAAAAGTACTTTGGACCACTGAGCAACAATCCAGTGCTGCTTCTCTGTAGCCCAGGTCAGGCGCTTTGCCACTGTTTCTGGTTCAAAAGTGGCTTGACCTGGGGAATGTGGCACCTGTAGCCCATTTCCTGCACATGCCTGTACACGGTGGCTCTGGATGTTTCTACTCCAGACTCAGTCCACTGCTTCTGCAGGTCTCCCAAGGTCTGGAATCTGTCCTTCTCCACAATCTTCCTCAGGGTCCGGTCACCTTTTCTCGTTGTGCAGCGTTTTCTGCCACACTTTTTCCTTGAGTAATGAACCAGGCTGGGAGTTTTTAAAAGCCTCAGGAATCTTTTGCAGGTGTTTTGAGTTAATTAGTTGATTCAGATGATTAGGTTAATAGCTCGTTTAGAGAACCTTTTCATGATATGCAAATTTTTAGAGATAGGAATTTTGGGTTTTCATGAGCTGTATGCCAAAATCATCAATATTAGAAACAATAAAAGGCTTGAACTACTTTAGTTGTGTGTAATGAATCTAATATATATGAAAGTCTAATGTTTATCATTTAGGGCTGGGCTAAACAATTATTTTTAAAAAGATAATTCTAACGATTATTTTATCGAATAGTCAACTATTCTAATGACTATTTAGACGATTAATCTAGTGATTAATTTTTTATTGCACAATTAATAAAAACAATAAAATCTAAAATAAATTCCAAAAACTGATAAATTGTTACCGTAAGAGAATAAACACTACAGACCTTCCGTTTTGTATAACACGGCTTTAATTGTGTTGCGTTTGGTTATGTTCTGGTGACATGTAGAACTTGGGAGAGCAGGCTGCCGCCTGAGAGGTGGTTGGAGACGGAGTGTCTCCATGCTGCTTTGTTTTGGTCACTTATGTGCGTGAAGCGAGTGGTGTTACGACTCTTCCTGGGGAGTTTGGCTCGTGTGCAAAAAGGAAGGGAAAATAACACAGGATTTAAACGTTAAAATGATGTTCAGGTTTATTTACAACAACAAAAAAGCATAAATCTTTCCATCCACAGGTTGGGAATAATAAAACTAATTCTGCCTGTGGGGAATTAATACAAAAGTACAAATAACTAGGGATGTCCCACTGGGCAAAGATTACTGGGTTCTGGACCAAAATAAGGATTTCCAAAGGTCCAAACTCTAAACTGGGTGGTTAAACCAAACTCAAGGTGATATTTTAAACTAAACCGAAAACCCACAACACTCTAAATGTAATAAAAGGGAGATCTGCACCACAAAAAGATGAACTCTAAACCAAAACGTAACAGCTTATCCAAACGCATAAGCTGTTAGCGAAGATGCTAACAGTAGCTTTACCAACGTTAAGTTCAAGTTAACCAAGTTTAAATAAACCAAAATACCCAGTAAACAGACCAGCATGGAGGAGAGACTGCTACCACAAAAACAGCTCTCTTAATGTCTGAAAGAAGCTCCTTTTTATGAAGGGAGAAATGCCCCCGGTGATTTTCTACATCTGCCGTAGAGACGAAGCAGCGCATTTGACCCCGGAAGTTGTTGTTCGTTGCTGGGAGACGAAGGCGGGCAAAACAAGAAAGGAATTTAGTAGCGGACGGACATTGTTCCAGTTCTTCTGTATTTGGCAGAGATGTTAGTGAAGGCAGAGAAGAGGGCGAACTAGAGGAAAAACAGACTGATTCCTCCTCTATTTACTACTCCTGGGGATGCAACAAGTGGGCGTGGTGCGTCGACTTCCAGATCTGACGTCGACGAATTTTTAGAATTGAGCCGTCAACGCCGTCAACGCTTCACTACAGCTCTATTATCAGTACATTACAGAAAATAATGAACGTTATCACAATATGCAAATTTTTTGAGAAGGACCTGCACTTCTTCTAATGCTTCATTCACTTGCGGGATTCCCCAGGATTCTGTGTTGGGCCCATTCTTTTTTTCTTTGTATCTGCTACCGCTTGGTTTGATTTTTTAAGAAACATGGGTGTCTTTTTCACTGATACCCAGGTATACGTGCCTGTTAAGAGGACCACAATCATGCTTTGCATTCTCTTTTAGATTGCTTTGTTGGGGTTAGGCAATGGATGTTCTCTAACTTCATTCTTTTTAATGATAAAAAGACAGAGGTTGTAGTTTTTGGTACTTTGTCTAGGGTGGGTGCAGTGGACCTCACGCAGCTCACCCCATTCTTGAAACTGAGTGTAACTTCCCTGGGTGCTGTACTGAATGGGGATCTTGTCTTGGAAAGGCAGGTCAGTGTGGTGACTAAATCTAGTTTTTATCAATTAAGAAGGATCGCCAAAGTAAAGATTTTGGAATAGTAATTCATGCTTTTATTACATCAAGGATTGATTACTGTAATTCTTTGTACCTTGGTGTTTCACAATCCCACCTCTCACGTCTTCAGTTGGTGCAGAATGCTGCATCACGGCTGCTCACTGGGATGTACTGTAATGGCTTCCTGTTCGTTTTAGAATCCAGTACAAAGTGTTTTTATGGGCTTTTAAAAGGAACCCAGGTTACAAAACTTTGTGGTTCTTAAAAAATAAATGCTAATATCAGTTATATTAAAGTGGTGTAAAAAAAACCTTCTTAATGTCTTCATTTTTATAAAATTTGTAAAAGTTGTTTAACTCGTAGGTCACTATTGTTGTTAGCGTTGCAATGCACTCTGGGTAGTGACGTCATATGCTTGTACATCGGTTGCACCGGCCGGCTTTGGGACCCTGTAGGGACTGTTCGGCGATATCCACATGTCATCTGTTCAGCCTTTTCTATTTGATCCAGAGTGAAACATTAATGAAGACATCACTGACCATGTTTCACAAAATGAGCGTCAAAATGAAGAGCAAGAAGGGCGGGATGAAGCGAGTGCAGGACAACACCGTTGCTGCATGT